AGGGCCCGTGCGCGGCGACGGTGCTGTCCCTCAGGAGGATCGGCTGGGACGTCGTCGCCGCCAACTGCTGGGTCATGGACGACGGCGTGGCCATCGCGCCCTTCGACTGCGCGCCGTGGGTCGTGGTCAAGCTGGTGAAGAGAGCAGTGCAGCGCTGGCAGTGGAGGCAGGTCAGCAAAGCCCCAGGGTGCGCGCACTTGGCGGGTGGCGGCGAGCTGGAGCCCCTGGTCAGGCTCACCTCCTCTGGCTGCGCTAGGAAAGCCGACGAGCCACGCCGAGAGGAGGGAGCACCTCGCACCAGGGTTCGGTTGACGGCGCGAGAGCAGGCCTACCTGAGGTCCCTCATCATCGATGGGCAGTGGACTCAGGCGCGCAAGGAGGAGAAGGGGCTGGCGCCCAGTGCAGGGTGCTTGAGGTGTGGAGCCAGGGGCACGCTGATGCACAGGCACTTCGACTGCCCGTGCTGGCGTGAGGTGCTGACGCTCCCAGAGGACCTGGCAGGCCTCCGAAGGCAGAGCGGAAGGCCTGAGGTGCAGCTGCTGCTTGAGAGGTGCCTGTGGCCGACACCACGGGGCATCTGCCGCCCGCCAGTGTGCAGCGACGTGTGCTGGAAGGGCGACCACGATGGAGGCACCCTTCCTGGAGGTGAGCTGTTTCTCGATGGCTCGGCGTTCGAAGCGGGCTACGAGGAGGTGGCGGCAGTTGGCTGGAGTGTGGTGGCGCTGCAGGCGCACAGTGACGGGTACAGAGCCTCCATCGCTGGCCAGATGGAGGGCCACTGCGTGGACATCAACGGCGGGGAGCTCACAGCGGTGATCATGGCGCTCAGGTTTGGCCAAGGGGTCACGGTGCTGGTGGTCGACTCCAAGTACGTGTACGACGGCTTCTACAAGGTCGGCAGGGTGGGCACCACGGGCTACGCGTACACGTGGGCTCACCTGTGGCGGCGAGCCTGGGACCTCCTGGACGAGCGAGGAGGCCTTGGGCATGAGGTCAGCCTGAGGTGGATGCCCAGCCACAGCACGCGGCGGCAGGTGGCGGCGGGCGAGGTGCTGTACAGAGATTGGTACGGCAACCGACTGGCGGACAGGGCGGCAAAGGCTGCGGCGGCCAGCGGGCGCCTCCCCGTGCGGGACAGAGAGCGCCTGGAGAGGAGTCGAGACGTGGTCGAACGAGCAGCCATGCGGTGCGCGGCAGTCGGCAGCTGGGTCGACGGCAGCGACACCACGCACGGCAAGACGAAGGTGCAGCGCGCGCTGCCAGTGCGCAAGGAGCCAGCGGCGAGAATGGCCTGCGTCTGGAGGAGGCCGCCTGGCCTACGTCCCTGGTGTGAGGTTTGCAGATGGTCAGGCAGATCAGGAGAGTGCCCTGGCAGCATCGTCGCCGAGGCGATCAGGGCCAACAACAGGCTGAAGGCGCAGCAGAAGGCGTCGCACGACCTGGTGCTCCTCGCGCCTGTTGATGGGAGGCTGCTGGTGCGCAGGATGCCGCTGGTGGCTTGCAGGGCGTGCGGGTTCACAGGCGCGGCCAGAGCGAGCCCCTTCCACCTCGAGTGCAAGAGTGTCCCTTCGGCTGCAGGCGCCGCCGCGGTCGCGAGGCTGAGGAAGGGGCTGGCTCCGAAGGTGGCCAGCGAGGTGGCAGTCAACATCACGATGCTGGCGGACGACGTGCAGGAGGGGAGAGGCCAGCCGCCGCAGGACATCGCGGGGGAGGAGGACGGCCACTCCTTGCGTCCGCCAGGAGGAGCTCCAGGTGGCGGGGAGGGGGAGGACGAGGACTCCCTGCGTCCCCTGACCCCTGAGGGCTCCAGCGCGGCGGCTGGCCCGAGAGGGCGAGCTGGCGGCAGGCGTGCAGCCGCGGCACGCCAGGCCGCGGCAGGAGGCGAGGCAGGGCCTGCGGGCGGCGGCGACGGGCCAGGCCCGCGGCGCCGCGCGCGCGTGCGCGCAGCAGCTCACCGAGGCAAGCCGCTCTGACGCCGCCCTCGCTGTCGCCGAAACGGGCGGCCAAGGTGGCCAAGCAGCAGCAGGAGGAGAGCCAGCGGCCTGAGGCGGGCCCCGCCGAGGGAGAAGACGGGGTGGCTGCAGGTGGCAGCGGCGGCGGACCGCCCCCGCCGATGCTGGCGGACGACGTGCAGGAGGGGAGAGGCCAGCCGCCGCGGCACATCGCGGGGGAGGAGGACGGCCACTCCTTGCGCCCGCCAGGAGGAGCTCCAGGTGGCGGGGAGGGGGAGGGCGAGGACTCCCTGCGTCCCCTGACCCCTGAGGGCTCCAGCGTGGCGGCTGGCCCGAGAGGGCGAGCTGGCGGCAGGCGTGCAGCCGCGGCGCGCCAGGCCGCGGCAGGAGGCGAGGCAGGGCCTGCGGGCGGCGGCGGCGGGCCAGGCCCGCGGCGCCGCACGCGTGTGCGCAGCAGCTCGCCGAGGCGCCAGGCCGCAGCAGGAGGCGAGGCGGGGCCTGCGGGCGGCGGCGGGGGGCCAGGCCCGAGGCGCCGCGCGCGTGCGCGCAGCAGCTCGCCGAGGCAGGCCGCGCTGACGCCGCCCTCGCAGTCGCCGAGGCGGGCGGCCAAGGTGGCCAAGCAGCAGGAGGAGAGCCAGCGGCCTGAGGCGGGCCCTGCCGAGAGAGGAGGCGAGGTGGCTGCAGGTGGCAGCGGCGGCGGACCGCCCCCGCCACGCGAGGCCAGAGGGCCAGGTCGCAGGAGGAGGTCCAGCCGCCTGCAGGTGAACCTGCTGCTCGATGCGAAGCAGGGGCTGCGGGCGGCGGCAGCGTGGACTTGGAGGACAGGTCGCAGGAGGAGAGCATGCCGCCTGCAGGTGGCTCTGCTGCTCGATGCGAAGCAGGGGCTGCGGGCGGCGGAGGCGGCTGGCCGAGGCCGCGGCGCTGCGCGCGGGAGCGCAGCAGCTCGCCAGGCTTGGCCGCCAAGGTGGCGAGGCTGCTGCGGGCCGCGCGGGGTGAGGCCTGGCCGACAGCCTCGGGCGCGTAGCTGCGCCGAGGCGCGGGCGCGCGTGGGGCGCGCGCCTCGCCGGGGTGGCCGTGGCTCGACGCGGTCCGCCTCACCCCGCGGGCATCCTCCTCCTCCTCCTCCCCGCCCCCCTCTGCTCCCCCTCCTCCTGCTCTCCTCTGCCTCCTTCTTCTCCTCTTGCTTCTCCTCCACATCCTTCTCCCCCCTCCTCTCTCATCCACCTCCTCCACCCTGCCCCCCCTCGTTTTCATGATCGTCGCTCTCAGGGTCGGCGGCAACGGCCGTAAGGCCTTCGCAATCAAAGTGTTTGTTGAATCTGCCAACAAATACATATAGTGTTCGTAGATCTATGATCTATGAACATTAAACGCATGCGTTCGCAGATTCGACGAAAAGTTCAATATTGGGTAACTCAATTCTGTAGTCGATCTCCTACTCGAACGTCTGGGCAGCAGCCTGCCTTGCGGACGGCGCGTCAGCTTCAGCCCCTCGAGGCTTCGGGGGCCCCCGAGGTCCCCCGAGGGCTCCTGAGGCACCCCTCGGAGGCTTCCAGAGCGCCCAGAGCGCCCAGAGCGCCTAGAGCCTCGCTCCTCGATCATCGCTACCCCAGGCATCCGATGACGTGTTTGTTCCCATGCGCGGCCCCAGAGGTCCCCGACCCCCTTCCTTTGAGGGGGGGTAGCTTCTCGTCGTGGATCCATTCTTGATGATCCCGAGACCCGGCAACGAGCCCCAGAGCCCGACATCTGGGAAAACAGCTTGTACTGCGAAGATCACACCGCCCGATATTCGGGATCGGGGGTCGCAAACCGATCCCCGCACCTCTCCTGGGGCGCGTTCTGCCTAGAATTTCGCGGCGCATCCAGCCGTGGCCACGAGAAACTTCCGGGTGGCCAGTGGCCCAGAGGCGCTGGAACAAATTCGAACCTCCGATCTCGAACAGCGATCTTCGAACCTCGAACTTTGAACTTCGACGAACTCCGATCTTCGATCCTCGAACCTCAAGTCCATTATGTGCGCAGATCCGGGATATCGCCAGCCGCAGGGCTCAGGGGTAGCGTCAGGGGGTGGATCGGCTCGGGGTGGGGGACGCATGTAACCCCAGTCGCCAATTCGTCGCCGATTGGGGATCGATACCCCCGCCCCGCTCAGGAGCGTGGGGCTTCGCAGCCGGGGAGCCGATCGCCGATCCATCGCCGATGCAAGCTCGCTGGCCCACCCCCACGAGCCAGGGTCCATTTCGATCCGATCGATCCGGTTCGATATTTCGGTCTTGGCCGGCCCGATTCGATTTGATTCCGATATTCTGGCGATCCGATGCGGCCCGATTCCTGCATGGCGCTGCTGTGCAGTCTGGCGCAGCCGATCCAATTCGATTTCTACTCCGTGCCGATGCAGGCCGATCCGGCGTACATTTCGATCCGAGCCGATTTCCCGCCTCGATTCTGACTGGTCCTGCTGAGCGAGCTTCAGAGGAGGAAGAGGTACCGATGTCGCTGCTCGTCCTGGAGACCCCTCGTCGCCACGGCAGGATACTCCCCGAATTCTGATCAGAACGCACTCCAGGAGAGGTCTGGGGAGTGGCGGCATCGGTATTTTTGTTGTTTCACCAGAGCTGCCCCGTGCCTGACGTTGATCGTGGGCGCAACATATCCGTATCCGCTGCCTTGCGGGGTGGGCCCTTTTGCAGCGACCCCGCGGATACGAGACGTCTTTTCGCGGATGTCCCTCGCGGGACGCATCCTGTTCGTATGCGTATCCGCGGGAACGCGCCCCGCAAATCAGACCGCGAGGGCGCGGATACGAATAGGTTTCGGCGGCGATTGAGGGGAGGAAGTGAATGGGGGCGGGCCTTTCAGAAGACTCGGACGTCCCCCGGCCTTCTGAGAAGTTTGCTAAGCCTTCCTCCGCAGACACAAGCGCCTTCTCAGACGGCCGAAGCCCCTCTGAGAAGCCCCGCCGCCTTCTGAGAAGGCCTTCTCCTTCTCACTTCCCCCCCCTCGCTCGCCGCCGAAGGTTCGCCGCTCGTGAGCTGACCCCCTCAGGCAGCGACGGGAAGAGCCTCGCGTTCCTGGAGCTGCCGGGCTGCTAGCGGCCCCCCGCGCGCGCCTCGCGGCCGCGCGCCTGGGGCCGCCGCCCCGCCGCGCGCGCAGAGACCGCGCAGATGGCGCTTGCTGCACAGCCCGTCGACCTCTGTGGCCGCCCCCGCGCAGACTGGCTCGCCGTGGGTCTGGAGGGAGGAGGAGGAGGAGGAGGAGGAGGAGGAGGAGGAGGAGGAGGAGTGGATCTCGCTTCGTGGAACAAAACGACGGGAGGTTTCGAGCCATTTTCGGCCTCCGGTTGCCTTCGCCGGGCTCCAGGAGAGTCGACAAACGTTTCGGGATGAACAATGGCTCCTGGGGAAGGGGTCCAGACCTCTAGGGGTCGACGTTGTGAAACAAACAAGGCGTTGGAGATCTGGGTATCTGGAGGATGGACATAGGTACGGAAAGAATGGTGACGAACACCGATAATACTTGTCGTCCGTTTTGGGCTGGAATCGTTCTCGGTGTCGCCGCAGATGTTGCTCATTTGGGACGAGAGGTTGCCTGCCCAACAGCGGCCGCCGCCGGTTTTGGACAACAGTAGCTGTTGGGCATCGTGTTTATGCTTCCGTCCCTATTTCAGACGTCCAAAGTGGAGGCACCGTCGATGTTCGAAGTTGAGGTTTGATGTGCGAACCCTACCCTTAGGGGTCCATTCGCTGCTGGGATATCGGACACTCTTGCTGGGGTTCAACTGGCGGCAGACATCGTTCCAGCTCTGGGACCTGCAGGGATAGGGTTCACACGTGAGCGACTCAGAAAAACGGAGTCGTCTTGACAAACATCCGCGCGTAAGCTGCCCGCGTCTGGTCGCGCGTCAGCGCCCTCGCTTCCAGTGTGGCGTGCAGGTCTGGCGACCCGCGTAAGCCACCGCGTAAGGTTGCTACGTCCGAAACTTCGCGTCATACATCTTCGTCTTGTTAGAGGTGTTCATTGCGGTGGCACCTATGATGGTGGTGGTGCTGATGGTGGTGGCGATGTTGGCGAGGAGGGTGGATGCTGCTGCTGCTGACGACGACGATGACGATGACGATGATGATGATGATGATGATGATGATGCTGATGATGATGATGATGTTGCTGCTGACGCTGATGATGATGATGGTGGTGGTGATGATGCTGATGATGAAGCCGATAGGGTGGACGATGATGCTGATGATGATGGTCGTGATGATGTTGATGCAACTGATGGTGATGATGCCGATGCTGATGATGATGAGGATGATGATGCTGGTGATGGTGGTGGTGATGGTGATGGTGATGGTGCTTATGATGCTGATGATGATGATGACTATGATTACGCTGACGCTGACGCTGATGCTGTTGCTGATGATGATGCTGATGATGGTGGTGATGAGGATGAGGAGGAGGAGGAGGAGGATGATGAGGATAAGGATGATGATGATGATGATGATAAAGATGATGAAAATGAGGATGAGGATGATGATACTGATGATGATGATGATGATGATGATGTTGATGATGACGATGACGATGACGATGATGATGATGCTGATGCTGATGCTGATGCTGATGATGCTGCTGCTGATGATGCTGATGATGCTGATGATGATGCTGATGACGATGATGGGGATGATGATGATGATGATGATGATGATGATGATGATGATGATGATGATGATGATGATGATGATGATGATGATGATGATGCGGAGGATGCTGATGCGGAGGAGGAGGAGGAGGAAGAACGCAACAGGTTCTTACCTAATGTTTAGTCTAACGTAGAAGGAGGAGGACGAGGAGGAGCAGGAGGAGGAGGAGAAGGTGGTGGAGCAGCAGCAGCAGGAGGAGGAGGAGCGGCCCGGCGGCGGAGAGCCAGACCCTGGGTGCGGCGGGGTCGGGAGTTCCGCACGCGTCGTGAGGCAGGTCGCGTCCTCGGAGGTATGGGGGGATCCCGCGGCCGCTGGGCCGCCCTAGGGGGGGCGAGGAGGATGAGGAGCAGGAGGAGAAAGAGGAGGACGAGAGGACGAGGAGGACGAGGAGGAGGGGGAGGAGGAGGAGGAGGAGGAGGAGGAGGAGGAGGAGGAGAAAGAAAGGAGGAGGAGGAGTAGGAGGAGGAGGAGGAGGAGGAGGAAGCATGGGGGGGTGAGACGGATGGGGGTGGGACGGATGGGGGTGATCGTGGTGGTGGTGGTATCGTCTTGTGGCTCTTCCTGTTCGCTGGCCGCGCCCCGCTCACAAAGCGTCGTCATGGCATTCCAAGGCCCTTGCGTCCTTGTCGGGCGTCCTTCTTGTACGGGTTGGCCGTGTTACTGCCGCGCCGCGCTGCCGAGCCGAGCGCCGGGCCGCGCGCGCAAGCGCGCGCGGGGGGGGGCGCGCGCATGGACGCGGAGCAGCCCGCAGGCCGCCGTGCGGCGGCGTCGTCTCCGAGGCCGGGGGCGCATCCATGACCACCGCGCGGGGCGATCAACTTTACCAGCCCCTGGCCACGTGTCGAGAAAATTCAAGGTGGAGATCTTTCCCCGTTTGGGGCTTCTGGGGACCCTCGCCTGGCCCTTGGACCGCCAAAAGACGACTCAGAATGAATATCCAGTCTCCGGCAAAGGGTCGGGACTTCGGGGACCGCGCACTGGAAAAATTATCCCGGCAAAGCAACCTAACAGCGATGTGTATAAGCATATCCGGAAGCATTCCCATTAAGATTCAGGTGACAGTCGCAGTGGCAACGGCCTTAGGATCCAATGGAATCTTAAGGATTCCTAGGGATTCCAAAGGCATCCTTTGGCATCCTTATGAATCCATAGGAATCATTAGGAAACCTCAGGAATCCTTAGGAATCCTGATTCCTAGGGATTCCTAAGGATCCCTAGGGAATCCTAAGGATGCATAAGGATTCCTGAGGGTGCGTAACTATGCCTACGGATTCCTAAGGATTCCTACGGATTCCTAAGGATTCCTAGGGATTCCTGAGGATCCCTATGGATCCCTACGGATGCCTCAGCCTGCCTCAGTTTCAGCCTCAGCCTCAGCTTGCCTCGGCCTCAGCCTCAGCCTGCCTCAGCCTCAGCCTCAGCCTGCCTCGGCCTCAGTCTGCGTCAGCCTCAGCCTCAGCCTGCCTCAGCCTCAGCCTGCCGCAGCCTCAGCCTCAGCCTCAGCCTGCCTCGGCTTGCCTCAGCCTCAGCCTCAGCCTGCCTCGACCTCAGCCTGCCTCGGCCTCAGCCTGCCTCAGCCTCCCGTTCTCCCCCCCCCTTTCTCCCCCCCTTTCTCCCCCCATTTAGCCTCACCTTGTCTCAGCTTCGGCCTGCCTCGGCCTCATCCTCAGCCTCAGCCCCAGTCTCAGTCTCAGCCTCAGCCTGTCTCGGCCTGAGCCTGCCTCGGCCTCAGCCTCAGCCTGCCTCAGCCTCAGCCTGCCTCAGCCTCAGCCTCTCCCTGTCTCAGCCTCAGCCTGCCCCAGCAGCCTCAGCCTCAGCCTGCCTCGGCTTGCCTCGGCCTCAGCCTCAGCCTGCCTCGGCCTCAGCCTCAGCCTCGGCCTGCCTCAGCCTCAGCCTCAGCCTGCCTCAGCCTCAGCCTGCATCAGCCTCAGCCTCAGCCTGCCTCAGCCGCAGCTTGCCTCAGCCTCAGCCACAGCCTCAGCCTCAGCCTGCCTCAGCCTCAGCCTCAGCCTGCCTCGGCCTCGGCCTGCGTCAGCCTCAGCCTCAGCCTGCCTCAGTTTCAGCCTCAGCCTCAGCTTGCCTCGGCCTCAGCCTCAGCCTGCCTCAGCCTCAGCCTCAGCCTGCCTCGGCCTCGGTCTGCGTCAGCCTCAGCCTCAGCCTGCCTCAGCTTCAGCCTGCCTCAGCCTCAGCCTAAGCCTGCCTCGGCGTGCCTCAGCCTCAGCCTCAGCCTGCCTCGGCCTCAGCCTGCTTCGGCCTCGGCCTGCCTCGGCTCGGGCATTCAAAATATGGCACAGGACTGGTGTTCTGGGAACACGAAGATCACGAAGTGACCCACAGTTGGCTCCGGGCAATCAAAATATGGTACAGGAATGGTGTTCTGGGAACACGAAGAAGACGAAGTGGCCTACAGTTGGCTCTGGGCATTCAGAATGTGGCCTGGGAGTGGTGTTCTGGGAACACGAAGACCACGAAGTGGCGTACAGTTGGCTCCGGGCATTCAAAATGTGGCCTGGGAATGGTGTTCTGGGAAGACGAAGAACACGAAGTGGCGTACAGTTGGCTCTGGGCATTCAAAATGTGGCCTGGGAGTGGTGTTCTGGTTCAAACTGTGGCATGGGAATGGTGTTCTGGTCCCGGATTCTGCCGGGTTCCCGCGGCACCCGTCCGGCATCTGCCCAGAGCCCCTTGGGGAGTCATGATGCTCTCTTTTGAGACCACTAGAAACCTATCAGTCTTCGCTGTTAGGTAATCAAGATATCGTTATGATGGCAGGGCCACGGGGAGGTGACATTAGCGGTCTGAGGTTCGAGGCTCTCGGACGTTCTCGTCGGGTTTCGGCGGTCTTCGCCTAGAGGCGTGTCCGGGGAGTGTCCGGATCGTCCCGGACGGCCGCCAGAGCCCCGAGTTTGGCCCGAAAGTTTGCGAAAACGACTGGGACGGATAGGCTAATGGTGAGGACGCATCGACTCCCAATCGCTCATTGATCGCCGAGAGGGGCCCGCTAGGCCCACCCCGCCCAGGGGCCTGCGGGTTCGTCGTCGAGGGCATGGTGCCTGTCGCCGATCTTTCGGAGATGTATCGCCGATTCCAGGTCGATGTTTCCTCCCCTAAGCCGGTCCCCCCGAAGGTTCCCCCTTATCTTACGGGACCTCGGCTAGCGGTTGACACCCTAGAGGTGGGAGGGGCCAATAGTATCCATATCCACCGCCTGCCCAGGTCCCCGAAGATCGATCCCCAAGGCGGTAGTCATTGATAGATCCCCGCCTCGCGTCGTCGTCGAGGGTCGAGGCTGTAGGCCTTGGCGGGCGGCATCGTGACCACGGCTGGGTCCGCGTCGAGCCTTGGGTCGCTTTCGTCCTTTGTAGTCGTCGTCGTCGTCGTCGTCGTCGTCGTCGTCGCAGTGCTCATTAACGTCGTCGACATCGTCGGCACCAGCATTCTCGCGGCAGAAGGAGGGAAGCGGAAAACAGAACGCGCACGAGGAGGAGGAGGAGGAGGAGGAGGAGGAGC